CAGGAAATGTCCATTAGAGGTTCATGCTAAAAGTGTAAATTTGAACTTTGTTTCTTAGTCACCACCGTATATGGGAACTGTTGCTTTACTTTGGAGTGCATTTTAATGTCCCCAAAAAGGAAGGTTGATAGTGACCAATCAGCTCAGTTTTTCCTTACCTCATTTGTTGCTCTGCAGCTGTGTTCTAGGTGCTGGTTGGTGGGTTTTCCTACTAGAGTACTGATAGCAGGCCGGATAGAGTGAGATGTCCCCTTTGTCTTCAAGCTGACAGCTACTGGATTCCTGCGAAGGCATTTGCTTACCTTATCTTGCCTTCACAATATTTCTGTGGGTGGAGAGAGCCCCCTGTCCCCATTTTTAGCTTGAGGAAATGAAGCCCGAGGTTGCGCAGCTGTGATAACGGTGGCGTTAACTCAGGTGTGCTTAAACCAGTCAGTCTACTTACTCTCCCTCGTCCTTTCCATTATGAAGTATTTCAGGCATACAAAGTAGAGAACAATATAAGGAATATTCAACTATCCCCATCCACTTTTTTTTTTTTTTTTTTTTTGGAGACAGGGTCATCTTGCTCTGTTGCCCAGGCTGGAGTGCAGGGGTGTGATCATAGCTCACTGTAGTCTTGACATGCCTGGCATAAGCAATCCTCCCCCTTTAGCCTCCCAAGAAGCTGGGACCAGAGGTGCGTGCCACCACGCCTGGCTAATTTCTTTTTAAATTTGTTTTAAATATAGGTAATATAGGGTCTCCCTGTGTTACCCAGCCTGGTCTTGAGATCCTGGGCTCAAGCAGTCCTCCTGCCTCAGCCTTCCAAAGCGATGGGATTACAGGCATGAGCCACCACGCCTGGCTCCCTATCCATCTTAAAAAAAAAACGTGTAAATCCAACTGAAACTTTCTGAGGATGCTCTTTATGTTACATCATTTCCCTCTGTCACAGAAAAGGTTATTTAGAAATCCTTAGGAAAGTCCTTAAATGGGATCGAACTGTAATATTTTGATATATGCACATACTCTAGTAGATGGTGTGGAGAATACAGAGATGTGGTCCCCACCCTCAAGGGACCAGAAACTTATTGCACAGTAAGTTGAATGCTGTGGAACTTGGGTAAGTATCTCCTGAAAAGCTGACACATTCACATTTGGCTGGTGCAGTTAACTTAGAATAAGTAAGTTTAAAGAAACCCTGAATTACATAAAGAAAGGGAAGATATTCCTTCTATCTTAAAAATCCAGGCTATTCTTCAGTGGTATGGAAGAGAATAACAAGGTTATTAGTTGCGTTTTCCTTTTAATGTATTTTTAAGTGTTATTCAAAGACAGCATAGTCTAACCTCAGTCGTGATAGCAATCTGGCTCCTTACTGGTGATTGCTCCAAAGTAAATATGTGTGAAAATGAAAAATACCAAGTTGGTATTAACAGTTCACTTTCTAATATGAGAAATGCTTCAATAATAGAAATGCCTTGACAACAACAAAGTATGTTAAGAACCAGTTGATACTTAGGATCCAATGTAAGTAATTGTAGTGTCATTACCTGTAGGCCTGGATTCTGGCCTTTGGTTCTGCAGGAATCATGAGGGAACTTCCAGCAGATGGCTGCTGCATCCATGAGCATTCAGAATACAGGTAACTTTGGAGGCAATGGGCAAAGTCAGTGTCACTAACTGTACTACAAACACAGGTCAGTGCAGGCTGTTGGAGCTAAGGCTTTATGTCTTAGGTTTTACAGCCAGGCTTACGTTTCAGTCTGGATTTAAACAATGGAGTGCCTGTCTCCAGGGAGGAGAATAAAAGATTTATGCAACTACAAAAGGAAAGCTTATAAACATGTCCTATTGTTGCAAGATACTGATCCTATGTGGATGCTTTCATGGTAAGCCTGGTAACATTTGTGGACCCTTGGAATGACTTTGTTCCTGTCTGGTTAAGAGAAGTTGGCTTTTTGCAAATTCAGACTTACAGTTTAGTGATAACAAGCCATAGCAGTCAGGGGCGTGTGTGTGTGTGTGTGTGGATGTGTGGTGTGTGTGTGTTGTTTTAAGGAACAGGAGCTCTAATTCCGAATGACTTAAGAAGGGAATTTACTGGCTCATAACTGAGGCATGCAGGATAAGATAAGGCACAGTTGATTGGCCGTGACTGAGTCACATGCCCAGCCCTGGGGTTGGGGATTGCTATGGTTTGAGTGTTTTTGTCCCCTCTGAGAATCATGTTAAAACAATTCCCAACGCAACAACATTGGGAGTTGTTGGGCCTAATGGGAGATGTTTAGGTCCTGAGGGATCCACTCTCTTGAAAGGATTAGTACCACCATAAAAAGGCCTGGTGGGAGCGGGTTCACCCTCGTCTGTTCTTCTGCCATGTAAGGTACAGTGTTCCTGGCCTCCAGAGGATGCTGCATTGGAGGCACCATTTTGCAGCACAGATGGGGCCCTTAGCAGACACTAAACCTGCCGTACCTTGATCTTGGACTTCCCAGCCTTCAAATCTTTATATTCTCAGTCTATTCTTTATAAATTACCTGGTCTCTGATATCCTGTTATAGCAACACGAAACAGATGACGATAGGGGTAGAATCAATACTATCTAAAACCAGTGCTTTTCAAACCATCTATGGTAAATGTGTTAGTCTGTTGTCACGCTGCTAATAAAGACATACCTGAGACTGGGTAATTTATAAAGGAAAGTAGTTTAATTGACTCACAGTTCCACATAGTTGGGGAGACCTCACAATTATGGCAGAAGGTGAATGAGGATCAAAGTCACATCTCACATGGCAGCAGGCAAGAGAGCGCGTGCAGGGCAACTCCCCTTTATAAAACCATCAGATCTTGTGAGACTTATTCACTACCATGAGACCAGCACACAAAAGACCCACCCCCAGTATTCAGTTACCTCCCACCAGGTCCCTCCCACAACACATGGGAATTATGGAAGCTACAATTCCAGATGAGATTTGGGTGGGGACACAGCCAAACCATATCAGTAAAGGACTGTTATTTTTAATTTCCAAGACAGACTGATGACTCTGTTCAACAAGATGAGTTCACTGATCTTCTCTTAGTTCTTGTGGCATAAAAGTTTCTAAATGCTTACCTGAATTTTGTCTCAAATTGGTAACAAGAAGAGTGGCCCATCCATCACCAGGAGACCACATTTTAATAAGCACTTCTCTAAACCACACGGTCTAAGAAAGAGATGGCTGCTTTTCCAGAAGACAGGCTAGGGAAGGTATCACCAGAAGAGAGGCAAGAGAATACTGAGTGCTGGAAAGTTGCCCACCACGGTGATCAGCTCCATTAATCTTTCTTTTGGAAAGGCCTCATCTTTGTGTTCAGGAAATTGTCAGGTTCTGGATCACCTTAATGGGGTAGGATGAGAATTCCCCACATCCCTTTTGATTTTAACGATTGGAGACTCTAAATTTAGTCTTTTCTACTTAGCAGCACTCTGTTTCCCTTCTCTTTCTAGCCAGGTTTAGGTTAGTAAGAGGCCTCGGCCTTATTAGCCACCTGTTTCCTAGAGAGGCAAGCAACCTATCTAAGGAGACTTAACAGGCAAGGGCTGCAAATGCCACTCTACAGAAGGAAGCCCGAAAAGGATGACGGGAAAAGGGGAATTAATCGCTTGTGTTTTTAGATACCACTCAGGGCAGGGCAGACATAACACGCCTTCTTAGCAGGACGACTTTCTATATTGGTTAAGGCATCTGAGGAAGCTGGCCATTCAGAACCAGGCCTTTTTTTTTTTTTTTTTTTTTTTGGTCAGAGTCTCACTCTGTCACCCAGGCTGGAGTGCAGTGGTGCAATCTTGGCTCAATGCAACCTCTGCTTCCTGGTTGGAGCAATTCTCCTGCCTCAGCCTCCCAAGTAGCTGGGATTGCAGGCATCTGCCACCACACCTGGCTAATTTTTTTTTTTTAATTTAGTAGAGACATGGTTTCACTGTGTTGGTCAGGCTGCTCTCAAACTCCTGACCTCAGGTGATCCACCCAGCTTGGCCTCCCAAAATGTTGGGATTACAGGCATGAGCCACCATGCCCGGCCAGAACCAGGCATTTTAAAGTGGTCGAGGCAGACCGATTTGTTGAGAAGGGAGATAAGAAAATGTTGGCCCTACATGACAGCAAGACAGCCTAGGATCTGTACTTCCAGCTTGCCCTTTACGGCAGGCCATACTGTTCAGAGGCTATTCCTGCATGCTCAGCAAACAGTTCAATTGGTAGGAAGGGAACTTGTGGCACATTCTGTATGGCCTGACTGACTTGTCAAAGAGGAAAACCCAACTGTTGGCTGGACTAGTGGGCCTTGGGGTTAGTGAAGCATAGAAACCTAAGCCAGAGCCATCTGGATGGGCGTTTGTTGTGGTTACAGCAAAGGCTCCGTGCATGCAGTTGTATGAGTCACAGACACAGCTATTTACACTACAATCATGTAATTTCAGCAAACAAATGTAAAACTTGTTCTTGCAGGGCAACACACTTTCTTCCCTAGAAAGCGTGTCATAGCTTATATATATTAAATGTTAAGAATTTAGTGTTGTCACGATGCATTATAAACATGTAATTAAGACCTCCACCCAAGGGTAAGATCTTCAGCTGAGTTTTAAAAAAATGTTTATTAAAAATGGGCATGTTAGGGAGGGGGACAAAGCTTGCCTTTCACCTCCCCACGCTTCTTTCTTGACTCCTGTGGAGTCTAATGGCATAGTTTGTTTTGTTCCTGGTGACCTGTACTGTTGTATTGAATGCAGGTCCTTTGTCTGGCAGGAAAAAAAAAAAAAAAAAAATCTCGTGCGCGACAAGCCAGTTTCCTAATGTAAGAGTTGTGATTTGGGAGAGGAGACGAGGTTATTTTGGAGGAACGCAGGTCTTTGAAAGATGTGGTTAGAGAGGTTCATAAAGAAACAAAAATCTGCAGCTGTCCCTGGGCTTAAACAGCCCTCTAGGGAGCCGTGCGACCAGCACAGGGACATTCTAATGAAGCCTTTATTCCTTCAGAATGCCTGTCTGGGGAGGTGGAAACAAGTGTGGGGCCTGCGGGAGGACCGTGTACCACGCAGAAGAGGTGCAGTGTGATGGCAGGAGCTTCCACCGCTGCTGCTTTCTCTGCAGTAAGTAGCTCCCTGTGCTCCACCTCTGACGGAATCTGTATGTACAAAGCTTCAATATGCCTATTTAAGGAAAAATTGTGGTTTTGCAAACAAAGATCATTTTGAAAGCACGAATGGTTTTTACCAGTCGTCTTAGATGTTGTAAATGCCGAGGCTAGCAGCGAAGACAGGAGGGGTGGCCCAAGACACACCGCCTCCCTTTGTGTCCCCATAGCTCTTGGCCTCTGTTTTGGCCTTTACTTTGTTAACACATCTGCCTCCCCCACCTCACTGAGAGCTGCGTGTCGCCTATGTGGTCTGGCACCTAGCACAGTTTCTGGCACATTGCAAGCGCTTAGCTCCCATTTTTGAGTAAATGAATTGCTCATCATCCAGCCCAGCTTTCTCTTTCTCGGGTTCCCTTTAATGACAACAAAGTCTTCGGTTTTAAAACTGTAGAGTAGCAACTTAAGAAAGCACATCATTAATCATCTTCTGATTTAATGACGGAATTTTCTTCCGTGAATGATTATGTCAGATAAACCCACCCATACGGGCAGATGTTTGCCTTATCAATAGTATTGTACAGGGAAAATTCCTGCAGAAAACCATAGGTTAAAAATTGGTTACGTTGAGAAATAATCTTCAGGAAAAGACTTCTTTTCTCAAATTTGAATTGTCCTTGTCCCTCATTGGAGCCAGCATTCAAGGTATCTGGACCTCTTTAATCGCATAACTGCTTTGCAGACAACAGAAAGTTGCAGTTACAAAAAAATAAGAATACTACATAGGAATGTTCCCTATGTATGCCTCCATAATAATTATGCTACTGCTCCTCAGAAGACTTGGTTTAACCATTTCTTTTAGAAGTTACTTTTTTAAAAAAGGAATCTATTTTTCAGCAGGCTTGTAACCAAGAAAGTATGGAAACAGAATGCAAATACTTCAGAAATTGCTCTCAGTTTCATGTGTCTAGGTTAAGCCACAATGTCTACACCATAATAAAACAACACATACATGTATGCTGTTGACATTTGTTTTACTAAATGTCAAGTTCTTTACTGGTCATTTCTACCAATCCTTTGTAATATTTGTCTCTGCTGACTAAAGCCTTTTAAGGAAATAATTCAGAGTAGTTTGCAGACCTATGAGAATTTTACTGCAGAGAGCAGGGATGAGGACTGGGGAAGAAAGGGGTGGTTATATAGTAACATTTTCATATACTTACTCTTGTTTTGGTTCATACAGGTTTTTCAAAACAGTTTTTACATTTATTTACATTTATTCTGTCTGTTAAGGGTAGTTGTCCTTCAGCAGTGCATGGTGTTAGCTTAAGTATGGTTTAAGATATAGTTATCTTTAGGCATGTGTATTTCAGCACTTGAGCCTCAACAGTTAGATTCCGGAGTAGATGTCATTTCATTCTACCATAGAAGACTTTAGTCTAAGATAATAGAACTTTCAAAATTTAACTCTATTTTAACCAGCCAGCTAGTCCTCCTTCCCTCCCTTCCTCTTTGCTGTCCTTCCTTTTGTCCTCCTTTTGTTGTTGTTGTTGTTGTTGTTGTTTTTAGTTTTTTGTTTTTTTTTTTAAATGGAATCTCGCTCTGTCGCCCAGGCTGGAGTGCAGTGGCGCGATCTTGGCTCACTGCAAGCTCCGCCTCCTGGGTTCATGCCATTCTCCTGCCTCAGCCTGCCCAGTAGCTGGGACTACAGGCGCCCGCCACCACGCCCGGCTAATTTTTTGTCTTTTTAGTAGAGACGGGGTTTCACTGTCTTAGGCAGGATGGTCTCGATCTCCTGACCTCGTGATCCGCCCGCCTCAGCCTCCCAAAGTGCTGGGATTACAGGCGTCAACCACTGCGCCCGGCCTTGTCCTCCTTCCTTTTATTCAACCCCCCCTCTTTTATTTTTCTTACTTTTAATTTTTATGGGTACATAGCAGGTATATATATTTATGGGGTACATGAGGTGCTTTGCTACAGGCATACAATGTATGTTAATCACATCATCTTAAATGAGGTATCCATCACCTCAAGCATTATTTTTTTGTTACCAACATTCCAGTTACACTCTCTTATTTTTAAACGTACAATGAATGATTGTTGACTGTAATCATCCTGTTGTGCTATCCAATACTAGATCTTATTCCCTATATTTGTATACCCATTAACTCTCCCCACTTCCCTCCCGACACCGTACCCTTCTGAGCCTTTGGTAACCGTCATTCTACTCTGCATCATCATACAATTGTCTTTTAAATAAGGGGGAGAAATTCGGATCTTTGATTTCCAGCTGCCAGATTGTGCTACCAGTGAGTTTCCTCACAATTTACTTTTTTGTCAAGCTTAATTGAAGTTTTAGAAAGTGAAATAATGTCTGGATGAAACATGATGACATTTGGCAGTTTTATGAAGTCGGACACGTGGAAATGTTCTGTGGCAAGAGATCCATCAAGAAAGAATGCATTCTCTTTTGGGACAGAAGGGAAAACACATGCAGACTTTAAAGCACTTGACGATTTTCAGACAGGCTCATCACTGCTGGAGAAGCTGCTGGGGAGAGGAAAGGGTGGTACTTCTTCCCAGTCTAGACTAGTGATGAAAACTAGAATTCAGGATTTAAAACTATTTTTATCCCAGGGGATGTCTACTGGGGAGGAAAGGATACAGAGGCAAGTCCCCCAAGGCACTGAGCTACCCTTCTGTTCTTTGTTAGGTTGTGATTTAACAGTACTTGGTAAGACAAGGCTGAAAAGATTAAGAGTGTTGAGGGTTGGGAGCAAGGTGGTGTTTTATTCCTTTTGTTTAAGTAATTTATAGCCACCTCTGACACTTTGCTCCCTTAATATCATCTCCCAGAAAGGGAAATCATAGTAAAAGTTTGATCGGCACCATAGGAAAGGGAATACAAAATAAATGAAACAAACTAAAAATAAATAAAGCTTGAGGCTTCTGGATGTTATATTCTGATACATTTCTGAAGCAACTGTCATATCGGTGGAGGAATGTAAATAATCCTCAAATGTAACTGGCCAGTCCAGATGCTGTCTCATGGCTTTTGGGAAGCCACAGGATAAACCAGGAATGTGAGGGAGCCTCAGCCTTTACCATTTGTGGGCCATGTGTGTGCCACCATTGTTCTAAGGAAAAAGGCGTCTTTGGAACATGTGTAAAGTCTTAACTTTTTCCCCTGCAGTGGTTTGCAGGAAAAATTTAGATAGTACAACAGTGGCAATTCACGATGAAGAGATCTACTGCAAATCCTGCTACGGAAAGAAATATGGGCCAAAAGGCTACGGTTACGGCCAGGGCGCTGGCACGCTTAACATGGACCGTGGCGAGAGGCTGGGCATCAAGCCAGAGAGGTGAGTTGGGAGACTGTTGGTTACCTTCAGAAATGAGTTGCGACAGTTAGTGCCGCTTGCTGAACAGGAACCTGGGAGTCTCCAGATTTTTAGTTGAAACTAAGTAAATAAAATGGGACTCTGATTTTCTCATGTAAACTAGTGACTATTCTTTAAGTTCAAAATATTGAGTTTTGGACCTAACAAAGTTCTCATTAATAATTCCAGTGATTTCTGTTCCTGGCTTTATAGCATTCCAAGCTGTATCAAGGAGTCCTGTTCTCAAAAGCAAGTGATTTATATTTACTTCTATTTCGCAGCACCTTGGAGACCGGATGTCATGAAATTAAATGGTAGAGAAATGTGCTGTGTGAATCATGAGAGGCGTTTCTCATGTGCAGTGTAAGCAGTCAATGCGAATTCGTCAGTCCTTCCTTCTATGTAAACATTTTTCATCAAGAAATCATTTTTCTCTAACTTAAAAATGGAAATTATTTCTTGTTTTTGATTCTTTGAGAGAGTAGTATTAAACTTTAAAGGCTTTGGTGCCAACATATCAAGGTGCTAAATTTGTTAAAGTTCACTTAGTATTTCATATTCAGGTTAAATAACTTCCTTGTTTAGAATTCCCCCCACACACACTGTTTTTTTTTCTTTTTTGTGACAGAGTCTCACTCTGTCACCCAAGCTGGAGTGTACTGGCACAGTCTCAGCTCACTGCAACCTCTGCCTCCCAGGTTCAAGTGATTCTCTTGTCTCAGCCTCCTGAGTAGCTGGGATTACAGGTGTGCACCACCACGCCTGACTAATTTTTGTATTTTTTTGTAGAGGTTGGGTTTCATCATATTGGCCAGGCTGGTCTCGAACTCCTGGTCTCAAGTGATCCACTTACCTCGGCTTCCCAAAGTTCTAGGATTACAGGGATGAGCCACCGTGCCCAATCTGGAATTTCCTCTTAATTCCTATTTTTAACCCATTGATTCTACTTTTTGAACTTAACATTTTCACATCCATTTTATATTGAAAAGTCCAAAATTAGTGTAATAGTCCAACAAAATGGCCCTTGGACAAGACCATAAACCGTGCCAGTCACTGTGCAGCATTAGCATATGTTAATTCGTGTAATCCTCACAACAGTCCTACAGCAGAGGGCATCCTCTCTTTCTTCAGAGCAAATGAAGACAAGAAAAATTAAGTAAAAACTTTGCCCAAAGTCACACTGTTAGTTAATTGTAGAGCCTGAAACTTAACCTAGTGTAACTCCAAACCTTATGACCTGAATGAAACATGGTGCTTGGCTTGGCTAAAATAATGATTACCATGTATTGAGTCCCTGTTGTCTGTTGAACATTTATCTTCATTCTGTATAATCCTCAGAGTAACTCTGAGGTGTAGGTACTTTGTCCGTTTTATAGATGACGACACTAAGAGTCAGGTCACACAAATAAATGAGAGAGCCAGGATTTGAACCAATGTCCATTTGGTTCCAAAATCTGTTGTCTTCCAACTGCAGTATGTACTACATTGAGGCTCACCTCTGTGTTCTTTGAGCTTCTTCCACCCTCAGAGTTTCTGGGCCATGATGCCCAGCTTACCTTTTTATCTTTGTTAAGATTTGTTTTACTTGCTGTGCTCTCCTTTTCCATCTTATTACATCTATTTTTGTGCTCTAAAGGTTTTATTGAAAACCTTTTAAAATTTAAAGCACAAAGACCAGTGAACCCTCCTTTATTTATTATTATTATTATTTTTTATTTAATATAGACAGGGTCTTGCTATGTTGCCCAGGCTGGCCTCAAACTCCTGAGTTCAAGTTATCCTTCTACATTGGCCCCCCAAAGTGCTAGGAAGACATTGTTTTTCCAGTAGGAAAAATTAGCAGTTGTGGAGTGCTGTCATTTTATCTGCTCAGCTAATTTATAAGGTTCTAAAAGGGCTTAAAAAAAAAAAAAAAGTCTTCTCCCATCCTGACTAACACGGTGAAACCCCGCCTCCACCACAAAATACAAAAAAATTAGCCGGGCGTGATGGCAGGCGCCTGTAGTCCCAGCTACTCGGGAGGCTGAGGCAGGAGAATGGCGTGAACCTGCAAGGTGGAGCTTGCAGTGAACCGAGATCGCACCGCTGCACTCCAGCCTGGGCGAGAGCGTGATTCCGTCTCAAAAAAAAAAAAAAGAAAAAAAAAGAAAAAAAAGTCTTCTCAAAGCCCGAGGGTGTTCTGCACCTACTAGGTACACCTTACTGCATGGAAACAGTTCCTACTGATAGCAAGAAATATGGTTTACTCAGTGATCTGTAAATAGTGACAGAACTACCACCCTTATCAGAGAACAATGAAAGATAAACAAATCGCATAGTAATAATAAAAATTTCCAAAATATTTTTCCATGAAGAAAGTTGGCTGTTCACACTTTCCTGTATTCAAGATATACTGGGAGACTAAGTAACCTATAAAACATGCTTAACTTTCTTAGTTATAGACCAAAGTCAACTTACCTATTTGTGGAATTTTTAAACTGCTTAACAGTGATTTTTCCAACTCATGTGAAGTAAAAAGTTAGCTATGATTCCAGTGATATTCTGGAGTAAAAATATATGCTCTGGTAAGTTTTAATAAACCATAACATAACTGCTTAGTTGAGAGGCCAACACTGAGGATTAAATGAATTCTGTTTAGACTCAGAGGGACAGATCTTTAAGTCTGGGTCCCTGTCTGGTTTTTGTAATAATAAATGAGCCCATAGATAGGTTCAAGCAGTAACTCTGGCTGGCACCTGAGTCATTTCTTCTTCATTTCCTCCCCTGTCCTGGGCTGCGAAGGCCTCCAGCTTTGAGGCAATATAGCGGTTAAGTCCCAGAGTTCCATTGTTCCTGCCTTGTGTACTTAAAAGGGCCCTGTGGAAACTCTTGCCTACTTTCTTTCCCTCTTTCCACAAGTGTTCAGCCTCACAGGCCTACAACAAATCCAAACACTTCTAAATTTGCTCAGAAATATGGAGGTGCTGAGAAGTGTTCCAGATGCGGGGATTCTGTATATGCTGCCGAGAAGATAATTGGAGCTGGAAAGGTAAAGTGCTATTTCAAATTAATAACAGCAAATGAATCCTCTCTGCTCCCTTTCTCCCCCTAACCCTTCCACATTTCTTGCTTGGGTGATGTCTTATAAATCAGTGTCCTATATGAAACTTTTCTTTAAATGCACTTCCATCAGAATTACTAACTTTTTTGAAGTGATTCCCTTACTTGACAAGTCACTTTTATGTTTAAAAGAACTTGTTTTCATAGGGGGCACTCCTGAAGGTTAAACTTTAAAAGGCCAGACTCTAAGGGAATCTCCAGGTTATTCAATATAGTGAAAAAACGCAGGAGTCTGAGTCAGGACACCTGATGCGAATTCAGTGTATGAATTTGGAAAAGTTACCAGCTAACCTCTTTGAGCTGCGCTGTTCTTGGCCAGATAGAAGATGGTCTGTTTAAAGGAGCAGACTGGGCTTGTGCTTAGTACTGAGGCTGCTCTTAGGGAAACAGCCTTTCTGTGGGTGATCAGGAGTGCAGATACTGAGGTCTGGTTTCAGCCTTCTCACTGGAGCTGAACCACAGAAGTCAGGAGCTTGCTTTGGGGTGATCATGCTGAGCCACTTCTTGCCACACATCTAATTGAACTATAGGAAACAGACCTCTCAAACATGCTGACACATTCATCTCTTCCAGCCCTGGCACAAAAACTGTTTCCGATGTGCAAAGTGTGGGAAGAGTCTTGAATCAACAACTCTGACTGAAAAAGAAGGTGAAATCTATTGTAAAGGTAAAATTAATTTCAGTTACTGCTGTCCATATGAATATCCCACACTGGTTCTTATTTAATGAAATGTCACTGGTATTAAAAAAAAGAGAGAGAGAAAGGGGTACCACTATTTGAAAATAAAATATCCCAAGATGCTTATAGATGACAGAGAACCACAGATAATCTTAAGTTCCTGATCATCTAAAACTCCCCCTAGATAAAAACACTACAAATAGCCATCCTTTTGCCTTCATCTCTTGAGCAAAGCGTTAAGTATATGGAAGAAAATAGATAAATACATACCTTACCTGGCCTGACTCATGCTTGCAACTTAGCAAGACCACGCTGAACACTATGGAGCCAGAATGTGTGGACTTGTCTTTATAGCTTTAATATATTTAGTACATGACCTATTTAACATCGTAAATAAGTTGAGCCCTTTTACACAGCAGTTTGTTTAATTTATGGGGGTTTATTGAGTGGGTCTTCAGCAGTGTTAGCAAAGCTTAATGGACTTGCACTAACTATCCTTCCTCCCTTTTCCTTTGTAGGATGCTATGCAAAGAACTTTGGGCCCAAGGGATTTGGCTATGGCCAAGGAGCAGGGGCTCTTGTTCATGCCCAGTAAGGTGTAAACCCTGAACTAAACATCACACACTGAGAATCTCTTCATAACCTAGGCACAGATAATCTTTAACACTAAACTACTGTGAAATTCAACCAGCATTAAGTACTGTATATTGCCCTGTACTTGGATAGGCTGGCTAACTTGTAGGAAGAGAGCACTGTATCGTATCCTTTTGCTTTATTCACCAGCATTTTGGGGGAACATTTCTTTTAACATTTTAAATAAAACTTCAGCTTGATTTGGGTGTTCATTGTCTTTTAATTAATCTTTTGGAGGAGAGGCTCTGATTTCAGTTAGTGGAAAATCATTTGGGTCCCTACCTTTGTTACCCCATTACCCAGCTGACTCATTAATGTTTGCATTACAACTGTTGAAAAGGATCTCTCTCTCAAGCAGGCAAGTGCTCCTTAAGAGTAAAGGTTGCTAGGCAACAGGCATCGCCATTTCAGCTCCTCAAAGCTGGTGTTCAGCAGTGCAGCATCTCCTCCTTTTCCTCCCCACTGTACTCTTAAGTTCTTTTGATTAATCTATACCTAAAATTCAGTACAACCTACGGGCAACTATAGAATCTGAGACTTAGTATGATCCTTTTTAAAGACTCTCCACTGTGATCTAATAGATGGTGACCTACTAAATCCTGGAAACGGGGGTGTTTCACACATTTTGATTCTGTATAAGTAGCAAAGAATGTTGCATTGTCTGGGCACATTCAGCTGGCTTCGGTAGAAGAGGAGCATTAGACTTTATAAGGTATGGTTTCATTATTCCCCCAGAAAGTTTAGTTCTTTACTAGAGATTCAATCCAACTCCCTCACCCCCAGGAGCAGGGTGTGTAATAGGTGTAATGTGTATCTGTACTGTGTGTTAGTGTGTAAAATTGAACCAGCCGTGAACACATCTTAATCTTTTCCAAGGTTCATTTTAACATACTACACTGTGTGAGTCTTGCTCTCTTGCCCAGGCTGGAGTGCAGTGGTGTGATCTCAGCTCACTGCAACCTCCACTTCCTGGGTTCCAGCGATTCTTGTGCCTCAGTCTCCTGAGCAGCAGGAACTACAGGCATGCCACTACACCCAGCTAATTTTTATTTTTTTTAGTAGAGATGGGGTTTCATCATGTCGTCCAGGCTGGTCTTGAACTCTTGGCCTCAAGTGATCTGCCCACCTCAGCTTCCCAAAGTGCTGGGATTACGGGCATGCACGGCCAATATACTGCTTTTTTGAAAAGCTAAGGGGGATGTGGTATGTATGACATAAAAAAAAAAAAAAAAAAAAAAAAACAGAAACAAAGTGGGAGGAAGTTGGTGGACGGTGTACTGGGTGCTTATTTCACATCATAGCCTTGAGCAACTTCAGGTGTTTTATGAGGCATACCAGTTCCATCTCAGTGGGGCAGGAGAGGTAGTTAAGCAGGCTGGGATATAGTTAATTGGCAATAAAAGAGGCTGAAGGAGAGGAGTTATTAACTTCTGATTCTGTATGTGGTAGAACATGTCCACAAATTATTTGACGTTCCCGTCAAATGACAGTCTAATTGCCCTTTCTTTGAATAAAGGCCCACCTTAGTGACTCATTCTTAGTATTGTATTTTGGATAAGGCTAGGTTAGAAAAGACAATACAGCTTTTGCCTGCCTCTTCCTCTTAGGATGCTTACTCTTGGAATTCAGCCATGTTCCTGAGGAAGCCCTGACTACATGGGGAAACCACATGTAGGCATATTACTGCCATAGCTTCAGCTGAGATCTCATTCAACAGTCATGTCAACCACCAGGCATGTGAGTGAAGCAGCCTTCAGATTATTTTAGTCTCTGTTAAGCCCTGACCAAATTGCAGATCTACGAACAAAAATGTTTTAGATCACCAAATTTTGGGGTTGTTAGCATTCCTACCATGTTTCCCAAACTCTACTGGAGTTGCTAGTAGATATTCAAGAGGAAAAACAATGTAAATGAAGTTTCCAGGTGACTGGTAATTTGAGATTTCTGTCTGGTAAAATAAGATATCCATTCATATTTTAAATCATTCTTGATTAAATTGGGAGCCATGGCAAAATAGCTACTCCACTGTGAGATTAGTTTCCAGTGGTTCCAGGAGTGGAAAAAGGAATTTGGCTTTGGGCCAGACTGTTTTGGGAGGAATCACTTGGTCATTTGGATGTAAGTCAGTAGCCCCAAAGTAATCCGAATGCAATATTAAAGTGCTGCATGTCACAAAATACATATTTTTAAAACTACCCCTTATGTTGGTTTGGTATATTTAAGGAGGACTGCTGGCAACTCTAGTGCCAAAAAAGTCTTGTCGATCAAGTAAGTTTAGGGAGTGTTACAGAAATGAGACAGATCTGTAGGCTGACACTGCACACTAGCTACTGAAGGCCTTGAGCGCCTATGGTTGAAGTCTTTTAATTTGAAGAGAGCCTTACACTGAATTAGTTGTCCATGGAACCATTAACATCTTGGGAAATGTTCTGAACCTGTGGTTTCCAAACAGTTTGATCTCAGGACCCCTTAATATTCTTAAATTATTGAGAACTCCAAAGAGCTTTTGCTATGACAGTTGTCTCTATCAATATTTTGTATTAGAAATTAAAAATTTTTAAATTTTAATTCAGACTTCCACTTAAAGCCAAAATGTAATAACAGGGACCAGATTTATCTTCTCACTGTAAACAAGACAAATTACATGAAAAAATGTTCAAGACACTGCACATTATAGGCAACAAAGGCCATTCATGGGGGGAAAAAAATGAGATCAGTCCTAGCAACTACCAAAGCTTACTGCTTTGAGTTTCCAGGCTGAAGTACAAGGAAGAAGAACACAGGTGGAGCTAGAAGCCACCCTAAGTTAAGACAGAGCTGAGTCCAGGGAGACCCAGGTGGCTAGAGTTTGCAGGACTGGAGAGGATTAGATAGAGCAAACTTTAGGATTATACAGAACACCACCCCACCGTGCAAGTCTTCAGCTGAACTCTGATAGAACATGCATGGTAGGTGACTACCTAAGGCCAGGGAAAGAGCCATCCAAAAGGTGTGGAGCCAACAGTGTCTGGTGCTCACATGGAATGGGAATAGTGCCTGTTCCACTAACAAGACTGGGAAACATGACTCCCTGGGGTTTTGGATAGAGTACAGAGAAGGCTCTTACCTCAGTAAGAGCAGTGCTTTGGTCTTGCCTAATATCTTAAAAGCAAGACCTCAAAGGATCAGATTTTCCAAGTAACTTAACTGTATCCTGAATAAAGCTCAAGAGTTTATAGAAACACAAAAATATCACGCACCCAATTCATAGTGTTTGGCATCCAAACAAAAATTATCAGGCATGCAAGAATGAGGGCAAAAAATATCAAAACCAACTCAGAACTGACAACTGTGAACATTAGCAGGTAAGGATATGAAAAGTTATTAGACCTACATGTTTTCAAAAAGTTAAGACACTGAAGGTATTTTAAAAGGTCCAAATCAAACATTGTAGGTGAAAACAAAATGTGAGATGAAAATAAACTGAATGATATTGACTACACATTGCAAAAAACAAAAAACAAAAAAACAGTAACTTAAAGACAGAAACTATCTAAAACAAACACTGAGAAAAAGAATATTAAAAGCCAACGGAGGATCCATCAGTGAGTTGGAAGACAATCTCAAGTGCCCAACATATATGAAATTAGAGTTTCCTGAAAGGAGGGGAGGAAAAATAATTGAAGAAAGAGTAACTGAAAAATTTCCAAATTTTGATGAAAACTGTAAACCTTCAGATCCAAGCAGCAGCAACAATGAGACTTTCTGATGCTTTGAATGGATACAGTCTAAAAACATTGCCATCTATCAAAAATATTTGTCAGTCCTAGTCAATGAGTAAGTTTTAGCAAAATTGATCCAAGTAAAACATTCGTATCCAATTCAAAGGCAAAAGAGTTTTCTAAGAGGCATGTCTGGTTTCCTTGAGTTTCTGACTTAGCTGACACAGACCAAGGAACATTCTGAATGCTCAATCTACTTGGAATTATAGCGTTTTCTATTTTGTCACATAAATATATTTAATAGAAAACTCTGATAAGCACTTTACTTTCTGACAAGATGTTAAGATTTTCTGTCCTGGTATATACCACTTGTTTCCAATTATGTCTAAAAACTCCTACAATCAGACATCCATATCAGGTATGATCTATCAATCTAGCAAGGACTAGGAGAGAAAAAGTAGACAATGAGGAGGAAAACACTTGGGTGGAATGAAAACTAGTGGCTTGCTTTACTTTATACAGTTGTTCAAGATATTGTTTCTTGAACTCCAGACAGCTCGTGGGGCATTTTTTTCAATCTCATAAAATTATGGATATATTAGTCCAACTTGAAAATATTCCTGTTTAAAATACCACTGGGTTCTCAAACCATTAACAACCACTGGAACAACAGGAAATGGTTCCTTAATAATTTTTGCATTTTAAAGTCCCAAATAGAGAAGTTCTCTCTGCCACGCATACCTTCTCAAGTAACTGAGATCAACGTTTGGTACGTTTCATTCTGCAATATTTTTCTTTATATAGTGCATTTTGCAGTATTTTCTTTAGTATATTTAGACGTATTTAAAACTTGGAGATTGATACAGTCCCTGAGGATCCTAATTAACTCCATGGAATTCAGAATTCTTAAAAAAATTATTCTTTATTTAAAAAAATTACACACACACATGCATACACACAGGATTGGAATTTTTCTTTTTTAGACTACTAACACTATCTTTTACGTTTCCAAGTTCTTATGCCACTTGACTCCTAGTTAACCAGGATATTAATGTATCATCTTTTCATATCATAGGTACCACTATCACATTTCATCAATTTCCTGAAGCAAATTGAGTGAAATCATAAACAAGCACACACTTAAGAGTCAGTATTTATTCTGATTAATATTTTACAAAATTTTGACATTTAATTTATGTAAGGAGGGCTAATTTATTAAACACTTTACAGGTTTTTCTTTCCACAGAATAACACGGTAAGTAGCAAAATAATACTTGGCACAGTTATAAATAAAGAAAATATAAAATAAAAACATCCATAGCTTAAGTACAGTGATGCTGTTTTATGCCCATTAATATCAAATAAATTCCTGGAAACAATAAAAATATGAATGAAAAAAACTCCAAAGAAGTAATTCATGTTCAGTGCTGAGAATTAAGTTGCTATTTGCTAAAAGTATCCAATTAAGTTAAGAACTATTCCCAAAGGTTCACCATCAT